GTTATCTCTCATCACGTTATCTCTCATCACGTTATCTCTCATCGCTTTCTTTGTTTCCATGCAGTCGCGTCGGATTCCAGATGCGGTTCGCGGACAGCCAAAATCGCAGATGGCAAGTTAGTGAATTACGAGGCAATGTTCGCTATATGTGTCAAGCAATCCAGTGCAGAGCACTATTGAATACAATTTTAAAATTAGTCAGGCATTGCTGCATAAAGGGCTATCACAACTCTTGCTATTGCAGCATTTCACGTCAATTTTCCAGCATGATTTTAGTTTGCACTGTGAAAGCGTTTTCATTTATTCAACACAGTAAATGTTTTGATTTAAAGCTTTCGTGACTGCAGTAATTCATATTCTTAGCTCTTTCGGTAAAGTCACGTTGAAGGGAAACAATAAAATAAATATAAAACAATAAAAATTCTCACGACGTTTCGACCATAACACAAACGGTCGTCACCATGACGAAAGCATATGAATATACAGTAAATGTTGTAACGTTGCTTTGTATAAACATAAAGCAAAGCAGTAATTGGATACATAGCATTGTTATTAAGCCTTCACACGCTGCCAGGATTTCCACGGCTGTAAGGACCTTGGTCCTATTTACTGTTTGTGGAATCATTCTGTCGAAAACATGATTACATGAAGACAAACGACAGTGCCCTTGACTGATACAGGTGTTACCTACTGTGAGCCCTACATACATTCATATCAACTTTGTACTTTTTTGTAAATAGTAATTTATCAGTTGTGTTTTTATTCCTAACGCACGTAAACCACGAGGACCACGTAGATACCCACATAAGAGACCCATCGACTCACGTAGATAACTGTAGACTTACATTATAAGGTCGGCACAGCACACGAGGGGTTGGGTGGCCAACACCACGCCCGGCCGCCTTTGTCTCTCTTAGTGGCAATGTTTACACACTTCACCAGGTACTAATTTGAGACTGAGTAGCCCTAGAGGAGGCCCAGGACCGGTTCTTAATAATCGTCACACTGGAGTTGGTGTCTGTGAGCAGGAATGAAACTCGGGACCGCCGGGTTCATAGCGCAGCGCGCTAACCGCCACACTTGCTGCTCGCCACTAGAGAAAAAACAAACACACACACAACACTCAAAATAGTTGGCGTATAGTTTCTCGCGGACGAAATGAAGGACTCTGCGCTGCTAACCGAGCACCGTAAAGCGGTTGTCGAAAAGCCTACTTCAAGCTCATCGCCTGACAGTTCGCGCGTTGCAAAGCAGGCTACCGAAATAGATGTGTATGGGCCAAACTGCAGACTCGCATTCCGTTTGAGCAAGCGTTGTTGCGCGGCGAGGAATGTGGGACTCACAATTCTCTTGCGATGCGACTTGTTGCCTGCGAGGCATTCTCCGGGCTTGCCAGCGACACGTTTGCAGGTCGTGAATTGTTTGGTGAAGTCAGTGGAGCCGCGAGGTGCCCTCGGGTTAACGCAGAATCCTACAGAATCCAACGGTTAAGAATAATGTATTTTTTTTCTGGTGGACGTGGACGTTTTAGTCGATACCTGTTAGAGTAACGAGTTGAAATTTTTCATAGTACCGGAGTAATTTTTTTACGGTAGAAACTCATCTTGAAAATACCGTGATGTACGGTTTAACGTTGTGGATGCCATTATCCACGATGTCATCCGCAAACGTACTCCGCTTACCCTGCACAAGACAAGAAAGCAGATTTAAAAATATAATCTTATTCACGAAAAAATATGCAGATTGCATAATTTATCAATAAGTTTACAAAGTATATCCTGGGGAAGAGGGAAAGTCAATACACACGATAAGCTGTGGTTAATTGGATACATTTTTCACGTGACTCCTGTTATCCATCAAAAATTGCAGATGATAGGAAGATATTCTGCCAAACAGGATGGTGATAAGAGCAGATAATCACGAATTATAGGAGAAATAGGATGCAAATACAAGTGTAGTGAGCGACTTCTGAGACACGTCGACTAGAAGGCTTCTTATTTATTAAGAGCACACTGGGCGATACATTGTGTAACGCAGCTACACATAGGCGATCCTAACACGTAGCCCCATCTCCGGCTTCGCTACGCAAGCTGTTCGACCAGCGCAGCGACGGAGAGAGTCTTCAGAAGATCAGCCACGTGGTCGGAGACGAAGAGACGACGACAAGCAGCGACGCAGCCGAGACCCAGGACCCGTTACAGCCACGAACCTCTGGTTCGGTGCCCTTTATATCTGTCCCAGTGTGGCCAAGCTCCACTTCTGGCCACGCCCCCTTTCCAGAACCTTCGAGCCGGTTCCCGGCACTTCTCGACTGACTCCGCCTTTCACCTTTATCCCGGACACGCCCCCCTTATAATAAGGCATTACGTAATGCAGCTACGACCCTAATTACCACTCCCGGCCGACAGGTGTCACCCTGTCATTACACAAGTAATAGGAATAATGGTTAAATGGGTCCGAGATAGCCCTAGTTATACTGTATATATTGTATCGTAGCAATGAATGGGGGTGAAAAAACATCAACACATTCTTTCTGATATATTCCTGCAAACGATGGCAATATATTCAGGAGCTAAATACCAATGCCGAGGTCTGCTAGCCACGAGAGGGCTTCAGGAGGGAGTTCGTGGAGTTTTGCTGTTCCACCATTGAAGGAGTGCAGACTGCAGTGGTTTATCGTGGTCCATAGTTTGGGTTGCTTGGCTACAGTCACCCGACTGTGGCTTGTGTCTTCAATTTTCCATTCATGAAGGAGATGTTGTACATCGGACTGTTGATGGTCTGATGCATTTAAGCTAGGGCATGTAATGTTTTAAACTCTGGTTATATGATTTGAAGTTACTGAATATTTTATGTGCTCAGAATGAATACTAAGAGATACTCCTCGCGTGTAAGCTGTTCCATTAAAGGAGACATTCTGAGCTGATATTTGGATATGCAGCATCAGCTATGAAACAAGCGGCCACTGTACATTTTCGGAATTTTCCACGTGAGCACACTGCACTCAAAATTAACAGAGGCGGGTTCACCTTTGTACACATTGCACACTGGTGGCTGTAGTAGCTGTACGATGCCATCTAGTGGATAGATAATAATTTCAGAGGCGTTTTTTTCCATTTCGAGAAATAGAGTTTTACTTCAGAAAAAAGCAACGCTATTTCGAAATGACGAGGGCTTAATATTTGTGGTGGTGTAAAGCCACGTAGAAAATATGACAATGCACCATCAAGAGGCGTTGTTGTTTCTGTTCTGATTTTTGCATAAATTTGAAATGTATACAATCATTAATATTGAGTTGAACACGTGCAGTCATTGCAATTTATTACCATAAATGTTCATGCGATGTCAGTTGAATATACATATCGTAGTCAATTTATTAACTACACATTTCCTAGCATCACAAATAACACAATATTTTACTATAATGTTTAGCTGTTGGCAGCTCTACAGAATTCCTCTGCAATTTCAAACTACTTTTTGCAAAAAAAAAACATTTTATTTTTTCACGATAATTTTCACTCTGAATTTGTTTTATTTTCTTTAAACGCATGTTGCTTTGTTACCCCCATTTTAAGTGCTTTCCACCACAGAGAGTATTGAGTGCCTAGAAATGTGTTCCAATTAGCCACTATCCACTATAGGAGGAAGGACTCACGGTTGGTTTCCTTCTGTCCATTGTGGCTGAGATCAATGTTTTTTTTTTTGTCATCGTTACAGCTGGCATATATATTTTACCGTTTTTAGATCATTTTGATCCAATTGCATTTCTTTGGAGGGGACTCAGTGGAACTACAAAATGAGGTTTGGCTTTTAAATCTGGGAGATAGGCAACACCTTTTAAAGCATGATTTCCACCACGGAGATGATATTGCAAATGGCTGTATACAGTGAGTGACTTGTAATACATTTAGATTTGCAATTTGCTCCTGCTGCAACACATTCTCTCCTCCAATTATCAAGCCACCCTTGTCCACTCGTCATTCTGGCGGTGTAGAAATTCAAAGAGTTTTCTATAAATATGCGCCATAAGAGGTTAGGTTAATAGCATAGAGAAGACGTGGCCAGGACGTTGATCGTGGAAGAGATGAACTGGAGAAGTGTCCAACAATTTGTATCACATGATCATCACCAGCCATGATCTACCGCTGGATGAATGCCTTTTCAAGCCATTGCAATCCCTTAGTTCAGTGGTTCTTAACCTTTAATGCAGCCTTGAACTCCTTTGTTTCTCAATCGTTTAAACATGTATAATGTTAATATATCCATAGGGTTTGATGAAACAAAGTAGTTGTGCTTACATGCCAGTGCTTAATTTGTGTTTCGATTATTCACCTTCTAAAAAAAAAATCTGGCCGTGTCTCGGACCCCCAGAAAGGGCATCTCGCACCCCCAAGTGGCACGTCGACCCCAGGTTAAGAACCACTGTCTTAGTTTCTCGCGATTCCACAGCACATTGAGTTTCTCGCTCGACGAGCCGATTTCACTGCTCAATCTCCCCCGGTGATTGTGCCCTTGGTCGTGGTCTCTGTTGTTAATCTCAACCAACTGGCATCCACGACACTGTCCATAATGAAGATGCAACTATACACAGACGGGTCTGCAGCGCTTCCGTCAGCAGTGGCCACGACCTAGAAACTGCGGGGACTGTTGTGGCCGAAACGTCGTGAGAATATTATTGTGTTATTTTATTTTATCAATTTATTATTTTATTCTCATTCTACGTGACTTTACCGAAAGAACCAAAGAAGATGAATCCTTGCAGTCACGAAAGCTTTAAATCGAAAAATAGAGGTTATCATTATTATAATTACCTTCACTGTCAGAGCCCAATCCCGTGCCCATCAGGCCGACCAATAATGCTTCACAGTTGACGCGCGTCTTTTAGAAACCTGGAGGCATTTTTCTGGACAAGGGGGGTGGGCGGGGGGGTGGAATCCTCCTTCGGTGAGTTGCTTTTACGTCCACCCACGCCGATGCTAAACCGCGCTTGTGTGTCGCAGGTACGACTACCAGGAGATGCTACACAACTCCACGTTCTGCCTGGTGCCCCGCGGCCGACGCTTGGGCTCCTTTCGTTTCCTCGAGGCACTGCAGGTAGAAACCCGCCTGCGCGTGCCCCCTGAGGCTTTCTCTCTCTCGTCCGACAGGTTTCCATGTTTAACACCCGTTGTGTTGTTCAGCGTGATGTCCGACGTTTCGCCCCCCCGCCCCCGAGACACGCGCCCAGGGAAGGGTTCCGCAAGGTTGGCGAAGGTCCGGGCTCGTGGAGGCAAACGTCAGAACGCGGTGGCCGGAGAGTTGCCATGCAGACCCTTCCGTTAAAGGATTCGATTTGAAAGCAGACCGATCGAGTACATTTAATTATTATTGTCAAACTTGTTTGCCGAGGAAAGCCTCCCTGTGTCTCAGGACATAGTCAGGAGGGTCCTGCAAAGCGTCACAGTACGGGGCAATGTTGAGCTCTGCAATACAATGTGATTGATTTGCAGGGAATTTTTCAGCATTCGGATGTTTGGCCAATTACCAGTTGCATTGTATGGTGTTTTTTTCTTGCTATGGAAGGAAAGCAGAAACTCGCGCAGAACAGGGGAAGGGGATATGCAACACTCCACACACACACAAAGGTGTCTGTGATTGGAATCTAAACGGGGCCCTTCTAGCTGTCAGGCACGCATTATGACTGTGCCACCCGGCCACCCTTATTGTAATATAAACAGGCTTGGCATTTCCGCTCGGGAATTTTAATAGACTTTTTTTTCTTCCAATTGGCACTTATTGTTATTACTTATACAGCACTTTGTCAATGCAACTCTTGATTAATGCCTCGCCGTGCCATGTCGGTCGTAGGGGATTGTTTCACCATCCTTCATCACGCTGATAAGTGTGGGTTGGTTAAGTGTGGTGTGGGGCCTGGTTCAGATGCCACTCGCCACTGATGTTATCCGTGACCAGGAATTCAACTCAGATCGTCAGACTCATAGCGAGGTGTTCTAACCACTGCACCACTGCTCCGCTCCCAGTGCACACATCAATTTTCATGCAACTATATAACCATAACTCTAGGTAAGTGAGCCGTTTTCCCAGTCCAAAAATGTTTTAACAGGTACATTTACATATAAAAAAATACATATTTCTTTGCTGGCCATGCCCACTGCCGTGTTAGTTTCGAAAACCTAGCCATGCCAAAAATAGGCTGGTCCAGCACTGATTGCATTTCTGCACTTAGCGGAGAGAAAATGTATGAAAGAAATCTTAAATACACAAAAAAATACAAAAAAAAAATTCACAGTTTTTTTACAGTGTTTCAATGGACTGGTAAATAAAAGCAATTTGGCATGGAAGAGAGGCTTTGTACATTGTGGGAGTTCCTGGGCAAAAGCACACGCATTCTTTTTTAGAACTAGCAAGCACATAACTGCGAAATAGAGCCCTACCATGTAGTTATTTTACCATATTGTAACATCAGTCTTTTATTTTTCAGTTTGCAAAGAATGTTTGAAATGTACTTTCATTAATCATCCCATTTAATAACCTTGTAAATTATTTGTGTTCCGATTTTAATGCGATTATTATCTACAGTAACACTGCCAATTGTGAGTTGTTTAGTGTTTCTCGTGATTAATTCCTGTGACTTCCTTACTTAACATGGCATCAAATGTGACCTAATAAAGCGGGTGCCTAAAGCTTAATATGGATATGTCTTGTTCTATATAAACCCCCCCACCCCCCAATGCGTATTGATTAATTCACTTCTTACTGTCAAAATAATTTTTTAATCTGTAACTTAATTAGGTCAATTTTAATTGCGATTGCTTTCACCTGCGTTAAAACATTCCAGTAATTAAAACCTGCTGAGGATTAATACAAACTTAAATTAGAAACACATCAACAAGTAATGAATGTCAATGTTTTACACCCTCATTTAGGAATGAAACTTTTATATGTTTTAATTTGTTTTATCCCATATGCTATAGATATACCTTTGAAAAAAAAGTGCAGTCTGCTCGGCAAAAAAAATGAACAAGTCAACACAGTTTAACACGAGCCTCATTGTCACAAGCCAAGATATGCAGATGAGATTAAAATATTATTTTATCAGGCATGCATATCAATACGCCACATCATGCATATTTTATTAAAACATTGCCTTTGTTTAATCAATACCGTTATTGTTGTATTGCTTATTTACACATTTTTGTTTGTTACGAACAGCAATTACATCATTGCAAGTTTACTTGGGACAAGTCTCGTGTATTCATCGTGTTTTCCTGCAAATGACATTTTTTTAGGGTGCCTTAAGTGGCATAATAATGTGTTAGTACAATGTGCAGGATGCAAGCACGTGGCACGTGTAATTCAATGCAGAATATTTGCAGCAAGGGATTTTTTTTGTTTTACCCAGAATAACTGGCATTAGAGTTGTCCAGGGCTAAAGCAGTGCAGCATGCAAGCTTTCCTTGCTTCCTTCCAAGGCTGGCTCTAGCTTCAGTTATGACACCCTCCATTGCCTCTCTCTCTCTTGCCCCTTGAACAATACTTGCCTCTGTGCTCGGGGTCACCAAATGCCAAGCCCAGACATGACGTCAGTGCGTTGGGGTATGGAATCACAAAGCACATCGTCGGCCTTCAGAAGTGACACAAAACCCTGCTGCCTCCGAGCACTTGTGGACGTTCTGTATTCCGCAACTCTCCATGTGCCCAGAAATCTGTTTGGAGCCAAATCCGATGCCAGCGTGACCACCTTGAATAATTCTGTGCTTGCATTTTTTTAAAATCACGGTCTTCATGTTGCCAAACACCTGCGCTTCTAGCCCTCGTTGTTGGTTTTGGTTCTCGGACGCACATACATTAATTGTTATTTGAAAGGCAATTTGGCCAATTCATTTCAGACCACATTTCACCACGCATTAAAAAAAAAATTGACCTCACGCTTTTGTTTTGTTTTCACTCATTGATTTTTTTCCTCCTCCCCCACAGGTTTATTAATTTTTCAAGCAAATTGTGCAATCATTTTTTTTGTGTTTCTCCAACGGTCTCAATTGGCTTTTACCTATGTACCAGTAGAGTAACGTGGACGGTGTAATGGTTACCGCACAGGATTTGTAAATCCAGAGGTCACCGGTTCCATTCCATATCTCGGCATGGCAGTTGAAGCGATGAGCAAGGTTCTTAAAAACTCCTGCGCCTCTGTCCACCCAGCAGTGCGAATGAGTGCATTCTACAATGACTCGATAGGAAGTTCACGTGTGGTGGAGGTGGAGTGTCGGTACTCACTCCTGTTTCAAGATGTCTGGCCAGCGTGGGAGAGAAGGCCAAATATACCCTCGTGGAGGCCATGCCGGTACCATAAACCAAAATAAACAATGAAACAATTCCTCTCGACCCATGCTTTCCGAACCCCAATCTACTTCCCGCTGGGCAGCTTTGCGTTTCCGCATTTGGTGGCTAGGAGATGTTAACTACCTTGCCTGGTATACAGGAGGTCGTGGGTTTGATCCTGACCCTGAAGCCTGCAGTATATTTGGAGTTTGCATGTACTCCCTGTGGTCTTTTTTTTTTCTCTGGGTCCTCTAGTTTTTTTTTACCTTCACGTAAAAAAGAACATCTGCTGAGAGTATTTGGCTACTATAAATATCCACATGATAAGCCACTTTGCTGAGTTATCATTTGTGGCCAGGTCGCTTCTGAAAAAGAGCCACATAGCTCAGTGGGCCTTACCTGGTAAAATACAAAAAAAAGGTAGAAAACAAAATCCAGCCTTTTCTTCCTTAACCACGGGCACGATGATTTATTCTCTTCTGTGTCAGGCCGCATGTGTTCCAGTGCTCCTTAGCAATGGCTGGGAGCTTCCCTTCTCCGAGGTGATCGACTGGAGCAAGTCCGTCATTCGCGGGGAGGAGAGGCTGCTTCTTCAAGTATGCTTGCGAGTGCACGTGAACGAGCGGCATAACTTTCCACCACTTTTCCGCTTGACCGCTCCCAAGAGCATTCTGGCCACAGCTTGTAACCCTGCAGATTAATGAGGCACCGCCACAGGCTTAAGGCAGGACTTTGATTCCGACAGGCTGGGGAAAGCTATTATTAAATGATTGGTGTTTGAAAGAGGAAGCAGTTCACTGATCCAGTAATTTGCAGTTCTGTCTGATGTGTTCTTTGTTCTTTGTGATGCAATGATAAATCAGTATTTTTTTCATTTTGTGAAATAAAATGCATGAACAAAAAAACATGGGATTGTTCACCAAAGCGTGCATGCAACTGCATATCTCTTTCATATAGCCTGATCCATCCTCCCTTAAGAGACCTGGAACATAGATGTGGGCAGTTTCATTTTATATGAGGTCACTTCATGAAAAAGAAATGCCTGTTAAGTTTACTTCTGCTGCAGAAAAGAGTGCAACATTAGGCAGAGTGCACGCGTGTAACCCACGTGACTCAAAGCAACACAATGTATGAATGCAGCAGCAACAAAAAAATAATCAAACACACACAAATAAACAAAGATCTCTCATATAGCCTACATAGATTTTTTTTTTTGCAAATGCTGTTAGAAACCACCTATTAAGGCATATCTAGCACCATGCAGAGCCACGTTTGTCTCCCCATTAAAGTTTCTACATCATAAAGGTTCTACATCATACCAGCTACTCAATTAAGGCTGGATCGTCTTGGGGAAGACCCAAGACTGGTTCACATATCGCTCGCCACTCACGTCAGCCCTGACCCGGAATCAAATTGCGGTCGCCGTGTTCACAGTGCGACCTGCTAACTATTCTCTATCACTCTTTTCCACCCCGCAAAGTCCCGGCCATACACACACGCGCACACACGTATATTTTCCCCCAAAAATATAGCCCCAGAAAAATATCAAAGGTATACACAGAAGGTGAGGTCATGTCTAAGTGCACCCATTGTACGTTGGCACGAGTGGCGTTGATTTCGTCAAGCGCCTGGGGTTCGCGGCTCGCGTGAAAACGCGGATGGGCCACGGCACGCCGTCCTCTCGTCGTGGCCACAGAGGACGCGTGGGCAAGTGCGGCCTGTGCATCACTGAACCAGGAATGGGGGAGGAGGGCCGCCCTCCCCCACATTTTATTCCGATACAGCTGATCGCAGACTTATCGTGGGTCAAAAAAGCACGACGATCCTATCTGCTGGATCATCCTCACCAAACGGATCTCCCAGGAGGATCTGCCGGCTAGGATTTGCCAGACTCGGTGGCTCCTAGGCCTCGAGGCAGCCACAATATGGCAGGAGGGCCTGTAAGCTCGTGTAATCCGTCGAAGTAAATTGGATCCAATGCCAAGCACTGCCTTAAGTGCACTGGTGGCAGAAGGCAATCGAGACCTCCTGAGGCCAAGTGTGGCCTTAGAAATGGTGATTAACCACTCCACGTTTTTACATTTTAAACAAATCCAGTGTGCTGCATTCAAATGAAGTGGGTTTTGGCACGTTGCGCTATCATTTGAAATGGGACACTTTTAATGGAATGTGTGTTTTGGTATTGTTCGGGTGGTGCACAATCCTGTGGAATTATCACGAACACTCTTCCATTGCACACATGTGGCCCTCAATGAACGTGCGTGTCAAACATTTAAGCTGGAGTTTTTGTGAGTGCAACATGGAGAAATCCTATCCATATCAGCGCCAATGACGTCATTGGCGGACACCACAACTTGCGTACAACCACGGAGGTTTTTTTTGTGTGGTTCCTGCTGCAATGCTGTCCGGTGTGTGTGTGTGTTTGTTTGTTTTTGGGTTCCGCACTGCGTGTTGTTCGGCACGATGTCCGACGTCGCGCCCCACGTGCTGGTAAATGGAAGCCCCCAGTGCGTGGGGCAACACGTCGGATATCGCGGGCACAGCTCGAAAACACATCGCAGAGATGCACAGCTGCACGTAGCCGTGTAACGTACACCGATTGCTCTAATTAACTGAATCACATACAACATTTACACGGCGTGGTGCCAAGCGCACATCATTTATGATTAAAACATCTGTTTGTCCTAAAATCCCCTTCCCTACCTAGATCCCGTCGGTCGTTAGATCAATTGACCATGACAAGATTTTGGCGCTCAGGCAGCAAACCCAGATGCTGTGGGAGGCTTACTTCTCTTCCGTTGAGAGGATAGTGCAGACCACACTTGAGGTAAGACCGATGAAGCGCACTGCCGCATTTCCCCACCTGCTCTCTGAAGTTGCAAAAATGAGAGCGTCTCCATTGTTAAGAGAAATCGACTTGAAAAGGATGAAAACATATGACAGGATATCATTATTTGCCACCAGCGAAAGGCGTTTTTGCATTGACTTGTAGTTCGTTAAATATGAACCGCTTTAACTGTGTGACACATGCTCTATATTTGGTTGATTGTGGTTTAAAATAATTTTATACATTAAACTTGAATACATTTTCGCTTTGTAGCTCAAGCTACACGCCTGTGAAATAATAGTTTATTGCGTTGAAATGACGGATACGGTAATTTAACGAATACAAATTATGAAACTAGTATTGTTATAAATGACTAGCAGTGACGCTGGGCTTAAAATATTGAATCGTGCAGTTCCTCGGGCAAGTTGTACATCATGTGGTGTGGTCCGGCGCAGAAAATAGCAAGTTTATCATTCTGCGCAGCCCTTTCCATGATGAACGTTTTACAATGCCACTTGCAAAAAAATGTATTTGCAGATAATTCAAGACCGGATATTTTCACACATAGCCAGAAATAAAATGTTGTGGAACCAATCGCCTGGTGGACTATACGCCCTGCCACAGTATTCCACGGACTGCGCTGATTTCCCGTTTTATTATGCCACTTTGGGTAAGTGTTGTGCAACTTTAAGGTCTCCTTAATTCCGACCGTAAATGAAAGCAGTTAAAATGCAGAAAAGTAAACCAGATTTTATTTCCTGCTCCTCAGCAGACAGCAAAAAAAAAATCACAAAATGCCAGTGATTTGCACAAGTGTTTCAGGAAATATATCTCCACAGTAACATTCGAGGCAGCAGTCAAGGTTATACGATCAGTTTTCAATGCGTGCGTGTGTTACTGAACGTGCCCATAAGGTGTTTCGTTTTTGTGCAGAGAGAAACCGCTACATTAATTGCCTGCTGATGTGCGTAATTCATCACAAATATACATTTTTAGGATACTTTCAATATCCGTCATAAAAAAATTATTGGTCAAGAATATCACGATAACGATATTTGTTTAAGTAGCAAAAAATATCACGATGAGATTGATATTTGTAAAACAAAAACAAGCATTGGTTAGGTACCTTCCTTTTAGAAGTCTTCAATGTCGAGCAGGGATGCATGAGGATGTACCAACCAAATTTAAGGACCCTCATTGAGACAGGTGCCGGTTAGCACGTTTGGCTATGTATGGTGCGAAATAAGTCCATCATACATACAAGCAGTGTGTATGTATGCATTTGAAGTTATTTCGCACCGCACATAGCCAACCATGCCCATCGGAGGTGTGGGGGAAAGGACAACAAACTAAACACAAAAATCAGTTCAAATGAAATTCGTTTTCAATCCAGATTTAAAAGTGCACAGCTCCAGTGGCTTCCTAATCTAAGAAAGAAACGTCACCATTTCAGGCATTTAGCGGCAGATTGAGTTCCATTGCACGTAACAGCAGAGGCTGAAGAGGGGGCAAGGTTTTTCTGCTTGCGGGGTTTTTATTTTGGAGAGTGGGGGTGGGGGGGAAGGGAAGGCTCTTTCAAATATTTGCTTACTTTGGCACTTTTTGGCCGGATTCCTACAATCCCACAGCCGCGAGGCATGATCTTGTCACAATGTCAAACGGAGTTCGGTCTGTCGATTTAGCACCAGAGTTTACGCACTTCCACTGAATCGCAAGTTGGTGCCTCCGAAATAAATGACGAGTCTGGTTGGCAGCGTGGCTAGCACTGACATGCACCGTGTCAAGGAAATGATTTCAGATGTGTGCAGTCACTTATGGATATTTCTATTTAGGTTCATAAGCTACCCGGGGAATGTTTGTGAGGTTTTTCTTTTTGAGTGGACAGTGAGTTTTAAAATGTTCGACGTTAACAGAGTTTTGGACGAGCATGTGGTGATTACGATGCTGATAAAAAAAAACAATAATAATAATCGAGATGTTGATGATGTTTTTTTATTTATTTTTTCAGGGATCAAGCCTCTGGAACAGTTCACAGCCGTTATTTATGTAGTTTCCCCACTAATCTCTCAGTCCCAGCCTATCATCAAACTCATACTCGCTGTTGCAAAATCCAAGTACTGTTCACAAGTAAGTCTGATTATACAATAATCTGTGGAATGTGGCCAGGAACAAGCCATATACAGTATACATAAATATAATTTCCATATAACGTGTTACTTTAATATTAATGATTGTATTAACATTATCACCGTATAAGTACTGCCCTTTTGTCAATACACTGCTGGATAAGGGCCTCTCCATGCAACGCAGATGGATGGAGTTTCTTTAAATATATTTTACTCAGATGGTCATAGCCGGTTGGTGTAGGTGGAGAGCATAGACGTGGGAGCATAGGACCGTGCAGCAATCTCGATTTTTCTGCACTACCCTCTGCTGCCAACACTGGTATCCCACAGCAGCCTATAACACCTATTTTATTCAATGCCAATGGTCACCCATCGAAACACAATCCAGGCTCAAGCCTCCTTAGCTTCCGAGCTATAATGGTGTCGGGCACATTCCGTGTGATTTTTTTCCCACGATAAATGTTGATTCATATACAATGAATATGTGAGTACAACTCAGGAATGTTGCAAACTTGGGGTGGGTGAGAGTTGGCTGAGAAAATAAAATGTTTGCTCCGATTATGCCTTAATTGTCCTATGATATATAAATATGGATAACTTCAAATGAGCCGCCAAGTGCGAGTGAATAGCTGAAAGGAAATGAAATAAGAACAACCGTAACATTGTTTTTGGGAATGATAATTACGACTAAAAATAGTCCCGCGTACATCTAAACAGCAATCACTTGCAAAAAAAAGTGAAGTCTTCACATTTTAAAGACGCGCATTAAAAAAAAATGTCCTTATAATTGATCATATTAATGTAAAATATACTTTAAAGCATATTTCACTTGGGGCGGAGTGGGGGGAAGAAGAGTGGCACAGTGGTGACACTTGTGCCTGTCAGCAAGAAGGTCCTGGGTTCGATTCCTAACTCGATCGCCTATCTGTTCAGAGTTTGTATGTTCTCCCCCTTTTCTGTGTGGGTTTCCTCCGGGTTTTCCAATTTTCTCCCACAACTAAAACACACACACACACACTGTGTAACTGTCATTGGCCAAACATCCCAATGCTGAAAAATCACGCAAAATGACTCAACAAAAACTAAAACTAAACTTTTTTTTTTACAAACGAAACTAAACATTTATTTATTTTACCAGATAAGATCCACTGAGCTCTATAGCTTTTTTTCAGAAGTGACCCGACCACAAATGACAGCTCAACGAAGTGGATTTTCACGCGGAAATGTACAGCAGCCAAATACCCTAAACACACGTTTCTAAATGTGGAGGGAAAAACCGGAGGACCTGGAGAAAAATCCACGTGACCACGAGGAGAACACGCAAACTCCAAATATACAGGTGCCAGGGTCCGGATTGAAGCCACGACCTCATGTATATCAGGCGAGGTGGTTAACATCTCGCCACTGTGTTTCCCCACGGATTACATTTTGCAACATCGCCCCCCCCCCTCCCCAATTGTGTAAACTTGACAGGACCCTCCCGAAAGAGAGCGATGAGACTCTACGAGGCTTTTCCTGGCTAACCTAACGTAGTAAATGATGTCTCCCCAATGTCATTCCTTTTTGTCCTCAGATTGTGATTCTGTGGAACTGTGACAAGCCCATGCCAGCAAGAAACAAGTTGCCAGACACCGCAGTGCCTCTAATAATGATTGAGGGAGAGAACAAGGTGAGGGCTCCATCGCAAAGGATGAGGATCTAACGCTCGTGACAGGAGCGGACTGCTTTGTCCGGCGGTACAATGGGGTGCCACTGTTAAGGGTGCCCTGACGGTGGGGTTATTGAACGTGACAGTCGGTAAACGTAAAGGACCGGTGGCACGAGACTAATAACGTCTAAACAGCACTCGGGGCCAGGTTGTGCTCACCGAGGCAAAGGTGATGTAATCTTGTGAATGTGTTGCGTCGGAATAGGATGAGTGATAGGGGCAATTTTTTTTTTCATCGTTATTAACCGAACGAAAATAGCACTTTAGCACTTTTTTTTAATTCCAGAATGTGCCGATCCGTTTCATATTTTCATGCTGTATATTTTTACGTTTCGAATCCATTTAATCAGATATTTTGTAATATATAATAATATATATGCTGATATTAAGTACTGTTTACACGTATGCAGTGGATTTTTACACATTTCTGTTTATTGTTAAAAGAACATAACGTGAATAATAAAGAAAACAGCCCTGCATTCAATTAATGTTTTACCTAAGCATACATTTCGTCTCATGTCTTATACAGAAAATTAAGAACATAATCATGAAATGCAAATATACAAAAAAATGGCCAGTGCATTAAAACCAGCCTGTCTCGGTATTTGTTATCTGCAGGTTGCACATTTTCTTGGCTTCCAAGTGCTTTTCATGAACATTCCGGTTGTCTGATGAACATACATTTTCGTTCTCATAACCATCATCATCGTCATCGTCGCGTCTTCACTGGGGTGGTTCAGACTTTGCTGTTTTTTCCCTGGATTTTTCTGTTGCGTGTAGTCACTTTAAGACGTTTTCTTGTTCGTGTTTTTTTGTTTTGTTGCGGTTGCACCCGAGTCAAGAGCCGCATTGGCTCACAGGGCTCTACCTAATAAATGAAAAAAACTGAAACAGGATTGCGATATCAAGCGACCTACAACATGAGCAAGCTCGACGTTGCGTTCCTCCGCCCTCCCCGCCGTGGCTTCGGCTAATAAGCAACCGCAGTTTAGAAAGATTAAATCTGCCCAATTGATCTCCAGTGCATGATAGACTTGAATGGAGAGTACGGAAGACACTTTCCACTTAACCTGTTATCTTATTTGGCTATTGGGAAAACCATTCTTATTCTTCATTGTGTGTGCTTATGAAGATGTTTGACTTCGAGTACAGCAATCATTACAGCAGCAAAACCCTTTTCATCGTTTTTTTCCTACTCTCCGTACCGTCTCATTCATTCGCGTACTCGATTGAGCGGTCTCATTCCGCCTCTTTTGACGTCATTCAGCCTGTGACATCGTCACGGTAACAAAATGTTTTCCCTTTGTCGCTGCCGTCTCCCGTTGGCTGGGCAGGTGATGAGCAGTCGGTTTCTACCCCTTGACGTCATACAGACTGATGCCGTTTTGGGTCTCGATGAAGACACGGTCCTCTCCACAAATGAGGCAAGTCCACCGTGTGCACACACGCACACGCACAGTTATCCGGGGAGAGAACAACAAAAATGCGGACGGGTTAATGAGCGGCCTCGATATCAATGTCGGGGTGTGCGTGCGACCGCCCCTCGCCACGTTCCCGTTTATATTAAAAGCGGGCGTTGTTGTCTGAATAAAGCTCGCGATTTTGCAACAGCAACAAAATGGCAATGCATAAACTCGGTTGCTAAATGACCATAATCGAACGCAAGCAATTCTCTTATTTAGTACACTGCTGACACGGGAGCTGCACATTGCGCAACTATCAAAATAAATTGCCACCTACACCGAGAACAAATGTTGTTCATAGCTGTTTATCCTTAGCACAAGCACCGATACGCATTCTTGCAACGGATTTAAGCAACAGCAAATGACATTCTGTATTCATATACAAAATGCACAAGACCAGGGCTATCAAGAAACGCATCTGACATCTGTTAACATCCTGCTTCCTGATCACGGCGGCCTCCAAATAAGTCAGTTGCGTCTGCAACGAATCGCTCGGGTGTTTGTGCAAGAGGTGCGTAAACACGGAGACGCCTCGCGCCGATTTGGAGACGCCTCTGGTAGAATTCCCCCATCGCTGCGCGCAGGTGGACTTTTCCTTCACGGTGTGGCAAAGCTTTCCCGAGCGGATCGTTGGGTACCCAGCTCGCAGCCACTTCTGGGACAGCAACAAGGGGCGGTGGAGCTACACTTCGAAGTGGACCAACGATTACTCCATGGTTCTCACTGGGGCTGCGTTTTACCACAGGTGAAAGCACTTTCACCATCACCTTCCATCATCATCATCAGCAGCAGTAGCCATTGCCTATCCGCTGCTGGATAAACGCGTCCACGTTGCTGTTGCTTTCCCTCACGGTCGGGCAATGCCACGCCACTCCATCTCACTATCGCAAACGAACCGATCTCGTCACCCCCATCTCTGCGGTGGTCGTCCTCCCAAGGCGCGTTCTCTCCTTTGGCTGCCATTCCTTTGCTTACTTACCTTGTGATGTGTCCTACTCAAAGGCAATTTGCTTTCCTTAACGGTCAACACGATGCCTCTGATTTGCATTTGTTTTACTGATCCATGTCTCTCAGTGTGGTTGCAAGGACGCATCTCTCTGTGCTACTTTGCACACTTTTCCAAAGCCTAATCCCTTCTGACTTTCTAAGCCACGTCTGGAAAGCCTTGCAGATAACTGTTACAAGACTTTTAAGTTCTATGTAGTAGGCATTTGACTAATCACCCACCTCTACATAAATTCGATTAATTGTAACTATTAGGAGTCACAGTTCAAGAATTAATTCCATTTGTACAACGCCATTAGTATTGTTTTCTACATTTTTCTGTGAGACTTGTTGTTATGTTTGTTTTATTTGCATAACTATAAGCACTACCCTCTGCTCTAAATGTAGTGGTTCTAGTAACTAATTGGCATGTTTTGTTTACCTGACAACCCAAATTAATTGGCAGTGTCGGGTGGTGGTGGCGAGTTTAACGACACATTTATATTCATGCCATCTCAAGCAAACACCTCTTATGGATAATAATGGTCGCTGAAAGTCTACTGCTATGTGTTAAACTGAGTTAGGGTTCATTGTGCAGCAGATGTGTTAAGCTAAAACTAGTGAGCCAGCATCTCTGACAACCTTGGTTCAAATGCCTGGCTTAAAGGGAATAGACGAAGCACAATAGAATGTTATATTTTCAGTCCCAACGAATTGAAAAATTATCACGTGGAGCGGAATGACCGTTTCAGCCCAGTTCCCAACAACGAAATGGAATATATAGATTGTTGTTGCTGGCGAAAGTATTACATAACAGACACATGGAAAATACCGTGCGATTAAAAGCTTATCCGGTCACGTAATCCCTAAGGCAATAGGTTGAGGCCCGTTGAAGAAAGATCCAGACGAAATGAAATGATTTTGTTCAGTTTAGCCACAAGTAAGTCTACTGCTGAGATTGTTTACATATTTAATCCATTAAAATCTTTCAAATCTAAAGAGAAACGATATATGGGGCACCCAGGTTTCGGCAAGGCATGAAGACAAATATTTTGCCCCTTTTGGACTGCACCCTCTCCCTCCCACACAACCACCAACAGGGTGGACAAAGATCCAATGTCATTTTTTTAGGTTAATGAAGGAAACATGTAAACGAATGTGTTTCTACAGTTTCACAGACATCCAAATTCACAATTCTTGGCCAAAATCCCAGTCATTCCCCGTAAGTGCTGAACATTGTAGCAGGGTGTAACACATTATTACTGATTTATTTCAGGTACTATCATTATCTGTACACATATCACCTTCCTGAGAGCTTGAAGGCAATGGTGGACCAAATGGCAAACTGCGAAGACATCCTCATGAACTTTCTGGTGTCGGCCGTGACTAAGCTTCCACCCGTCAAGGTCACTCAGAAGAAGCAGTACAAAGAGACAATGATGCAGCAGGTGAGTTAGTGGTTCGTTTTTTGCCATCCCCCCCCCCCCCCACACCTTCGATGAGCACGGTTGGCTGCGTACGGTGCGAGAGAAGTTCAAAGTGCACACACGCACATAAACCATCACACAAACTCCGGTCGTCCTCGCAGCTGATTTTGGCGAGCCATCGAACATACCCGGTCGCTGCATCGTGCGCTTTCAGGTGTGCTTCTGCGGCCGTCTGGAACGCTCTTCCTTACGATATTAGGAAGCTACTGGAGCCATGCACTTTTAAATCATCTAGATTTAAAACTCATTTCTTTAGAACTGCTTTTTGTGTTTAGTTTGTTATCCTCCGCACCTCCGATTAGCATGGTTGGCTATGCACAGTGTGAAAGAAGGTCAACATACATACTACAAAACAATAATGGGCTTTACTGGACTTCCCTATAACACTTGTGGCCATCCAAGCATTACCCAGGCTGCTAAGCTTGTGAGATTTGACAAGATTGGGCGCATCCTGAGCTCTAGGCATGATTGAAAATGTAGTGTGAAATATTTGTAGTGTGAAAAGTTTGCGTGTCACAAGTTCAGGTGACTGTTCGTTCAGTTTGTTTGCAACTCGTCCCCTATCTGTGCATGCAGAACTGTGGAGTATTTAATATTCTACGGTTCTTTTGGTAAAGTCACGTAGATAGGAAAAATAGCAATAAAATAATAAAAATAAAGTGAATACAAATATCACGACGTTTCGATTGCAACACAAGCGGTCATCGGGTATTTATTTTCTGCCAAAGCAGTGCAATATCTTACAGAAGCAGTGCTAAAGAAGTTCAACATTCATACGTACGTACGAAGAAGAATCGGCAAAGAGGAATGTATACTCTTTGGTTCTTTCGGTAAAGTCACGTAGGTATAATATAAAATAAATCACATTTTTTTTCTTTCATATCTACGTGACTTTACCGAAAGAACCAAAGAGTATGGATTCCTGCAGTCACAAAAGCTTCAAATCGGCAAAGACGAATGTACCGAGGACTCCACTAAGAATGTGGAGGACATGCAGGAGGGGGGCTTTTTGTCCACTCCGTTGGTGGTGTAATTGAATGCGTGTTCCCACCGAGCACCGCTGCGAGGTCTTAATCTGGTTTTGAATTAATGTTGTCTTTCTTATCACACATTACAGATGATGATTAACATGTCAAAACAAAAGTACTCTTGAATGCACACAAGATAATGTGCTTTTCCTCAAGTTGTTTTTGTTTATCAGAATCGCTTTTAGTTGGAGGCGAAACGGAATTGAAATGTCTAAGTGGGGTAAAGTTATGTCAAAACGATCGCAAAGGGAGTATAATTGACTTCACATTTCTTTGCCTAGGTTATAATTTACTTGAATCACATATGTTGTGTTCGATATTGCCTAGAATTCATTGTGTTAACCTGTTATTGTTTGCAGAAAATTTCTATACACATCAACATACACATTTCCGGTCCATGCATATTTATAATATATGTACAAATTCGTTTTAATGGGAATAATTGCATCGTTGCCTTCAAATAACTACGGGGAATCATTGCTATAATTAGAATTGATATTTGAAAATGATACAACAGTGCCATCTGTATTCATTGCTGTTGTGTAAGTTTGGTGTTGTCGCATCAAGTACCTTAACTACTTTATATTGGCTGCATAATCACACTCTTCCTAAACGTACCAGGACCTTTGAGCCATAGAAAATGTTGTCATATGTCGATTCAGGAGGATGTAGGGTTGAAATGGTTAGCATACCGGACTTGCAATCTATAGGTTGCCTGTTTGATCTCCAACTGGGGGTTAAGTAAAAAAAAATGGGCATATGTCTTGAGTTCTCCCCCTTCCCATCATCCAGCAGTATAAATGGGTACAGCACAGGTGGTCAGTTATGCCGAATGTGGTGGGATAAAGTGTGGGTATTTCCATTTATTTCAATTATTATATGTCCAGCGGGGAAGGGTAGGCCAAACGCCCTCTCAGAGGAGCTCTCTAGGCCTCTATAGCGGGGGCGTTTATGTCACCGGTAGATTGAAGAAGCAATTGCAGGGCTGCACCTTTACCTCATTTTCATTCGGTCAACTTCCAAAACTCCAAATGCAATTTCTTCGTAGACCTATATATTTAATAACAAAAAGGTAAATTCAATTCTCCCACATTTGGAAAGCTAAAATTTAAAATGTGGGTTTTCAGATGTTTCTCCTTACACATATATGTCACAAATATATTCTCTCTAGCCTTTATACAACATGATGAGAACCTACAGCAGTCACTGCATCAATCATGACAAGCTACACGTATTAGATGACGTGTAGCGTCATCGACCGGATGACGTCTTTGGCGTACGCCTTTTGACGTCATCCGGTCGAGCACCAATTGGGTCGAGGCTCAAAAGAAAGCCGTCCCTTGGTGTGGACCAATCAGTTTCAAGGACAATGCATATATTATCATAGTATGTTTTTTGTTTGCATTTGACTGCAGGTATTGTGGTTAATGCAGACATGAATCCTTGTAAGAAGGTTTCAGTTTTGTTGCCAGAAAAAAGGGGAAAAACCCTATTCCTAACATTAATCACGTGTCTCAAAACGAACGGTTTGCCAAGATTCACAGGGCATTAATTGCGTCCACTTTGTTTTCACTCATTAGCTGGCTGAAGGATCTGCCCTGAGGACTGAGTTCTGACAGAAACTCTCAAAGACTTCTCCCTGCCCAGCTGCCCACCTATTTAACAAAACAAAAAAAACCCAGCATTGGCAATTGTCTTCGCCAACAGGGACTTTGTGCGATCCATCTAGGCCAGGAGTCTGCAACCTGCGGCTCCTGAGCGGAAATGCAGCTCTTCAAGGACCACTTCTTGCGTTATTATATTAAGGACCCACCATCTCGTATTCACATCGCATTGTGGCTCTTGAAATAGAGGGGGTTTTTAATACCTAATTTAAACCAAAAATTTATTTTGGTTGCCGACCCCCCCGATCGAGACGAACACATGTCCTGAGGCAATGTTTAAAATGTTAAAAACATTAAAATTCCATATGCTCACAATTGCCATATGCCACTTACATAACAGGGCAGCTTTGATCCAATAACAGTGGCTACTGTTGCACTAACGGGGACTCTGGCGTGGTGGAATGGTTGTCTCACCCGACTTGCAATCCGGAGGTGGTGTGTTTGACGTTTCGGCATCGTAGTGCAAGTGGGTTCACTGGGTTAGTCGATCGGCAGGTCACGTGCTGTATGGATATTGCCACCTCTTCCAAGACATCTGGCCAATGCAAGAGAGTATGCCAAATATTCGCTCCACGAGAGTAAGAGCCAGGAAATTTGTACGTCTGCGCCTTTTAGCTTTTGATGTGACACAATAGATATTGATTTGTGCCGAATTTGTTGTGATTTTGTTTAATTTCCGGTCTACCGTTAAAAATACACTTTTGGTCCCATTGAGCTCTACCTGAATATAAAGGGATTGCTACATGTGTGAATATAAAGCCCCCCTACATTCTAAACATTGAAGTTAGGACTCATCATTTGGGTGACGAATGACTGATTGACTGATCATTGTGAAGAAGCTGAAACTTATCTCAAATATAGTCGAGGCTATGGTTATGAAGTGGATGATAAAAAAATGGGCCATTAGAATGTACGGCACAACTTTTAATTGGTTTTACTTATGGGGCAGGAGTCAGCCTACAGGCTTGTGCTAAACACCTTAAAGTGGACGGTCCGGATCATCGGTGAACTTTGTACCTCACTTTCCTTAAGAGTACGATGCTAAAACCAATAAAAAGCAGGCAAAGCCCATTTCTGGTTCAAAAGTAGAGTATTAACATCACCCCTCCCTATAATCATTGCCATAAATAGTGTAATGTGTTATAAATTATAGGTCTGTGCTTCGATATCTGTGAAGAATACATCAGTTTTCATATAAATATCGTTCCATGAAATATTAGGCACATCGTGCGTCACTGCTCAACTCTGGAAATTCTCTGCCATTGTCTCTCGCCCCAATTTCTTACAACCTTGCTCTAAAAAAGGAAAAACCGCATTAACTCACGAATTCCACCTTCACGAGTTTGTTGCTGGCCAACTTGGAATTTGGGCCCTTCGTGCTTGTGCTCGGCAACCCTCTTCTGACTTATTTATTTACGTATAAATATACGAAGGTAACATTTCAATCGCCGAACAGGATTCAATATGTTCTGGCGCGAAATACGCACCGTTACTTCGAGTGCGGCGCATTGAGGGTGAGACTTAACAATCCTCGTGCTGTGTGCATTTCCTGACCCCACCACCACTACCACCCCCCATGTCACTCGCAGGGCTCGAAGACGTCTCGCTGGGCAGACCCCGACCACTTTGCACAGCGGCAGACCTGCATGAACACCTTTGCCGCGTGGTTCGTGCACATGCCACTCATCCGCTCGCAGATGCGCTTAGACCCTGTGCTCTTCAAGGACCAGGTGTCCATCCTGCGTAAGAAATACCGTGACATTGAGCGACTCTAAGTGACTAATATCTGTACCGTGTAACATCCGTGGCTCAGCAGGACGCCCACGAAGCAGAACCCAATCACTTACTGGGGCCCTTTCCTGCTGAAATAAATACACATCTATCTAAATCTATGTAGTGGCAAAGAGGGGAGAAAGGGGGTGTGGGCAAAGAGAAGAAAACTAAAAGTAAATGAAGATTGTGAAAGGGATGCAGAAAAAGAGAAGATACGATGAAGGAGGGTCTGAGAGAGGTGATCGCAGGGTGACGTTTTCGCAATTTGCAGGAATCAGTCAACTCGCCGGTGACGTTCACAGCAAGTTGAGAGGTTCCCATGCGCATGCTCAAGTACTGAAAGTAAATACTAAGACCTGAGGGTCATTCTCAAAGAAAAAGAGAGAAATGACTTTTAACTCAATTCAGTTAATCCCTAAATGCCAGAATGCTTTGCTATCTATCGTTTAACATATTGGCATTTCTAATACGGTGTTAGACAAAGAAAATCCAGTACATCATAGAGTAATGTCAAAGCCTTAAACATCAATACGGTAATGATCACGTTGTTAGCATGTGCAGCCCCAGTGAACTCTTGTTTATGTTTCAGCACTGTCTGAGGGTACCTAAACAATGTGTTGATTGACTTTACCTGTTTACTTAATTCCACACCTTTCCCCCCCACCCCCCCCTTTAATTGTTCCGTCTTCTTAGGCATCTTATTGTACGAATATTACTTGATCATGTAAAATCTATATGAAGAGCGGCTGATTGAGCGTTCATTAGCAGGTATACGATGCATGTGGTGCACATGGAACTGCGGACGGAGGAGACTCGGTCCTGAATGCAGGATGATTGCAATTGTTAAGGCACTGTGGCCTGTACAAAACATTAAATGTTTTCAATGTGCACTGTTGTTTTCAATTTAAAGCATTGAGATATTATTTTTTTAAATTTATTTCGGTGCATTTGTCAATCGACATGGCTCTGTATTCATTAAAAAACAACAACTTTTTTTCATGAATTAAAAAACCTTTTTTTACTTTTATCTCATTACCAACTGATGTTAAGCCAAGGCCTCTTGTAGCATCCTTCAAAAGGGCCCCACGCAAAACCCAGTTCCTGGAGGGAGATGAAAACGGTAACATTCTCGTTTTGTGTTTTCGCATTAGGAAATAAATTAACTGTTTGTAAATGCCTCCCACAGAGCAGCAGACAAATGAACAAAAAAGCCACCAACTTAACAAGTGCAATGAATGTTGTGCAAAAGTATAAACAAGATGTGAAGTTTAGTTTGCTTTGTAAAAGTACATTCGGTTGTGGAACGATTTATATTGTAGAAGTATCTCTTCAGAAACTGTATAACTACAGGCGTTCATTATTCACGTATTTATTAGTTCTCATTTACATGTTCATAATGCAAAGCATCAATACGGCAGTTTGAAACATATTATTTGATTTGTTTATGGAACCATGAAAAGGAATCCACGTCGACAGACATGGATTTCTGGTTTACGTTTTTATTATTCATATCGATTTTTATGGGTTTCATTAAATCGGAATCATTAAGGTGTGCCCAGTGTCATCAAATTACCCTTTCAAAGCGTATTGTTAAACTCGAGATTAATAGGCTCATTTCAGGTTATCAGATATGCTAGATGCAGAATGCCGAATAGTTTTTGTTGCGCGTGTTTATGCAACTGATTAGCAATGCTGACACGTTTTGATTTTATGGTTTGTTTACGGAACAGACAACATGCTAGGTGTGCTTGATCAATGTGGCTTTACTTGATAAAGTAATTGCAAGGGGTGTAACAGACCTAAACGAACATTATCCGCAGAAGAGTTTCAGGAGCAGGTAAATTATTGATAATAAAAAAAATCATTGTACAGTGAGGGAAAACAGTATTTGATCCCCTGCTGATTTTGTACGTTTGCCCACTGACGAAGATATGATATGTCTGTAAGTTTAATGTTAGGTTTATTTGAACAGTGAGAGACAGAATAACTTCTAGATTTAAAGATTTCGTGACTGCTAGGATCCATACTCTTTGGTTCTATTGGGTAAAGTCACGTAGGTGAAAATAAAATAACAAAAAATCACGACGTTTCGGCCACAACACAAGCGGCCTTCATCAGGTGAAGGGACGAGACTGTCTGGAGGACAGCGCTGGAGTGAGAGAAGCCACGCTTAGATCACGACCTTTAAGCTTGTGATCGCGGCATCTTTTGAGGAAGGTCAGCGTCTCGATGAGCTGTGACTTCTTGTCCCGTTGTCTGTTAAAAGCTCTAACAGATAGGTGAAAGCCCTCCCCATAGAGGTTATCAATTCTAGATTTAAAGCTTTCGTGACTGCTAGGATCCATACTCTTTGGTTCTATTGGGTAAAGTCACGTTGACAGAATAACAACAACAAAATCCAGAAAAACGCATGTCAAAAATTGTATAAATTGATTTGCATTTTAATGAGGGAAATAAATATTTGACCCCTCTGCAAAACATGACTTAGTACTTGGTGGCAAAACCCTTGTTGGCAATCACAGAGGTCAGACGTTTCTTGTAGTTGGCCACCAGGTTTGCACACATCTCAGGAGGGATTTTGTCCCACTCCTCTTTGCAGATCTTCTCCAAGTCATCAAGGTTTCGAGGCTGACGTTTGGCAACTCGAACCTTCAGCTCCCTCCACAGACTTTCTATGGGATTAAGGTCTGGAGACTGGCTAGGCCACTCCAGGACCTTAATGTGCTTCTTCTTGAGCCACTCCTTTGTTGCCTTGGCCGTGTGTTTTGGGTCATTGTCATGCTGGAATACCCATCCACGACCCATTTTCAATGCCCTGGCTGAAGGAAGGAGGTTCTCACCCAAGATTTGATGTTACATGGCACTGTCCATCGTCCCTTTGATGCGGTGAAGTTGTCCTGTCCCCTGAGCAGAAAAAAACCCCCAAAGCATGTTTCCACCTCCATGTTTGACGGTGGGGATGGTGTTCTTGGGGTTATAGGCAGCATTCCTCCTCCAAACACAGCGAGTTGCGTTGATGCCAAAGAGCTCCATTTTGGTCTCATCTGACCACAACACTTTCACCCAGTTGTCCTCTGAATCATTCAGATGTTCATTGGCAAACTTCAGACGGGCATGTATATATGCTTTCTTGAGCAGGGGGACCTTGCGGGCGCTGCAGGATTTCAGTCCTTCACGGCGTAGTGTGTTACCAATTGTTTTCTTGGTGACTATGGTCCCAGCTGCCTTGAGATCATTGACAACATCCTCTCGTGTAGTTCTGGGCTGATTCCTCACCGTTCTCATGATCATTGCAACTCCACGAGGTGATATCTTGCATGGAGCCCCAGGCCGAGGGATATTGACAGTTCTTTTGTGTTTCTTCCATTTGCGAATAATCGCACCAACTGTTGTCACCTTCTCACCAAGCTGCTTGGCAATGGTCTTGTAGCCCATGCCAGCCTTGTGTAGGTCTACAATCTTGTCCCTGACATCCTTGGAGAGCTCTTTGGTCTTGGCCATGGTGGAGAGTTTGTAATCTGATTGATTGATTGCTTCCGTGGACAGGTATCTTTTATACAGGTAACAAGCTGACATTAGGAGCACTCCCTTTAAGAGTGTGTACCTAATCTCAGCTCGTTACCTGTATAAAAGACACCTGGGAGCCAGAAATCTTTCTGATTGAGAGGGGGTCAAATACTTACTTCCCTCATTAAAGTGCAAATCAATTTATAACATTTTTGACATGCGTTTTTCTGGATTTTTGTTGTTATTCTGTCTCTCACTGCTCAAATAAACCTACAATTAAAATTATAGACTGATCATTTCTTTGTCAGTGAGCAAAGTACAAAATCAGCAGGGGATCAAATACTTTTCCCCTCCCTGTATGGTAGTTAGATACTAATGAGTAAAACACATTATTTTTTTTGCAATTTAAAATACTTGGTGCACCTTTAATGTCGATGCTGTTGTCGATTTATAACGGTCACGCATCATGTGACGTTGACCATTTTTAAGTTCGCGTTTGTTCAAGGAACGCAAGCAGTGATTTTTGTTTTGTTTTGTTACAAACAGAGATGGGTCGGTGTTTTTTTATGCTGGAGGTGTCGGATAAAGATCCCGTTGTCATAAAGTGGAGTATTGGTCGGCTTGGATGTTATTAATGCCCCTTTCTGCCATGTACTCACCAAGTAGATGCACACGGATAGCAGGAGATTGAAACATTTTATAGTAACTGCACAAAAAAAAACATTCCTGATTTCATTGCTCAACGCATCCTTATCTTTTGTGATTTATACACTTTTAATGAAAGTGGCTTTTTCTCAGTGTCTCTCCAATTCGGTTCATTTTCCCTTTACATAAAATACAGCGAGAAGATGTGGGCTAAATAATTGTTTTCTTTTATTCACGGCCTGTATATCCAAATACAAAATATAAAATGATGTCAAGCCTCTGGCTTGAAAAAGGAGGTGACTCGTCAAAGTAATTTCAAAAGTGGAAATCCACAGTACATCATTTTTATGCAGTGGTTCTTAACCTGGGGTGCGCGCACCCCCTGGGGGTGCGAGTGGCCCTTTCTGGGGGTGTGAGACACGGCAAGATCTTTTTCGAAGGTAAATCATTGAAAGACAAATTAAGCACGGGCACGTAAGTACAACGACTTTGTTTCACCAAACCTATGTATTTATTAACATTATACATTTTGTTACCATTGAGAACCAAAGGGGTGCAAGGCTGTAGTAAAGGTTAAGAACCACTGCTTTAATGGGACCTGCCTCAGATGCACGTCTATGGTATGTTTCCATTTAAATATTGGTTTTGAAAATTGGATATTTAAAAAAAAAACTTCAATAAAGGCAACGTAACCGCTTGCAGATCACTCAATCCAATCGTATATATTTTCTCTTGAACACACTTTCTGGAAAAGTAACAACTTTCGTAGATGTACTTATGCACACTCTGTGGCCAATGTTACGTTTTCAAAGAGGGTCTTTGATTTTGTTTTATTGCATTGCGTTTGCTTATGCATATCTCTGTACTTTTACCAAGGTTCTGAATGCTTTCTGAGACAAGAGAGATATGGCTGGCGTATTACATTCTGAATCGAGTAGGTTTGTAATTTCGAGAGACATCTTTTTACTAATTCAAACGTAATTTGAAAAAGCAAAAATCCATACTAGATATTTTTCACAAAGTAATCAACATTGTACTGTATAACAT